AGACGGATAAACAGACAGATAGACGGATAAACAGACAGACAGACAGACGGATAAACAGACAGACGGATAAACAGAGAGACTGACAGACGGATAAACAGACAGACAGACGGATAAACAGACAGACAGACGGATAAACAGACAGATAGACGGATAAACAGACAGACTGACAGACGGATAAACAGACAGACAGACGGATAAACAGACAGATAGACGGATAAACAGACAGACAGACGGATAAACAGACAGATAGACGGATAAACCAACAGACAGACGGATAAACAGACAGACGGACGGATAAACAGACAGACAGACAGACGGATAAAGAGACAGATAGACGGGTAAACAGACAGACAGACAGACAGACAGATAAACAGACAAACAAACAAGCAAAAAACACATATATATATACATATATATACATATATATGGTCATAATTATTCCACAGTCATTCATTTCACTGTAGGACTTAAGCCTCACACATTTCATTAATGAGAGGTTATTTGGCAGTACCACCCTTGCCTGACTGGATGCCCTTCCTAATCAACTGCGGTTCACTTGCGACTTCGCTACGACTCTCAAGGCGATAAGTAATTTTCTCGTCGTGAGACCTGGCACGAGCTAGCAGTCAAATTACAGACATTTTGATATATATATATATATATATATATATATATATATATATATATATATATATATTATAGATAGATAGATACTGATATTACTAACATGATAATGAAAATAATAATTACTATAGTAGTAATAACAATGATAACTTTCATGTAACCTAAAATATATATATACATCATTAATGGCGCACTAGGAAATAGACACATAAGTTTGACACACAATTTGTAATATAGAAACACATGCCGCACATTAAAACAAATGTTTTTTTTTTATTACACAGGGCAAATACAAAGTACCAAGAAAAAATGTTATCAAGCATAAAAAGCGGTTGTCAGTTTTTGCCAGATAGATTTATGGACGGTGTTGATACTGTGGTACACACACACGCGTACATACGTACATATATATTTTATGTAATATATATAATATATATTATATAATATATATACATATATATATGCGTGTGCGTGCATATGGGTATATGTGCGAATAAATGTATGTATGAATGTATATACATGTATATGTTTATGTATGTAAATATGTGTGTGTGTGTGTGAATGTGCGTGCGCGTGTAGGTGTGTATAAGTATATGGACATTAGCTTATAGGGATCACATAGCCTGGCAGGAGCTAAAGCACCGACTTCTTTTTCCGCATCCCCAATGAACTGTCGAATTCTGATGGTAAACCAATAGCCTGTATATTGCAGGCTATCCTGACTGTCTCAGTCTCGTTCCCCCCACCCATCCCCCCGGAGCTGTAGCCATCCCTCCCTTGGAACAGAAAAGGGACACGCAGCAGCAGCCTTTGAGACATTAAGGGCCCCACACACGATCAATTTTTTCGTCAATTAATTTATATCAATTTATTGACGTCAATGAATTGATGGGAATCACTGTGCCCACACACGGTCAATGATTTACTTCAATTTTCAGTTTGGTTCATAATTTCGAGATGAAAGCATCTGTGTGATATTCATAGGAACATCTGCCGCTGACCTGACCCTCAGCTGCAGAGAGAGGTCAGCCCCAGGCCCTGGAGGCCCGCTGCAGGCGGCCACGCCCCTGGGCAAGGCAAAGGGAAAAATGACCAGTGTCCCCAGGCCCTGGGGGCCCGCTGCAGGCGGCCACGCCCACATGAAGGTCGGGCACTGACAGTTTCTTTAGCCACGCTGCTCTGTGGCTCCGCCCCTGCTTCCAGTGGTCGCCGCTACTTATTCTCCAAGGATGATCCTGTCAAACCAGAGTGTGCCTTGGCGCGGTCGAGGTCACGTCTGACCTGAGCTGGGCCGCCAGGCGACCCTCCAGCCGACCGCATGATACCCAAGTGACCGGCCCATAACCCAAGACTGTCATCGCTGTGTTATCCACTGCGTGCTGAACTCTTATCAATGAAAGGGTTTTTAAGTCACTAAGCTTTTACTACTCCCTGTCACCAATGTTTAGAGGTCCTTCAATAACTCTTACACTGTGGCTCTAGGAATAGTGCTTACTCTGGACACTCCAAAGCGAAAGAAGAGGAGTAAGTGGGCGAAGAAATGGGATCTCTGTCGAAGGGAACTAGGACATACACGATTGTAAGGGAAATCACTAATTTATTGATCAATATACTGACGCTTTGTCCACACACGCTCAATTTTATTGAAGACCCATCAATAAATATCAAAGGAGTTTTGATCTCTCAATGAACTGATTCAATGAAATTGTTTCAATTAAATTGATATCAATGTCCCCCACACACGGTCAATTTTTCCATCAATTCATTGACGTCAATAAACTGATATCAATTAATTGAAGAAAAAATTGATCGTGTTTGGGGCCCTTTACGCACCTCAGCATGCCAGCTGGTTCTTGCTCTCATCCTCGCCGGAACA